ATTATCATTCAACTTATGAGGAGACATATGAGATAATTCTTGATATTCACGCATAAACTCATCATACATTTGTTTGAGTCTGGGAATTGACCTCAACTTACGTTCCAAATTGGAAAATTGACTTTTTTCCACTTATTTGGAATCTCCAAAAACACCAGCAGATTCCTTCAGAGGCACTGCTATATCCATACCATTCACGTCTGTGTTTCAACAAAATGGGTTTCAGCTAAGGATTCTGCTTTTGATAACAAAGATTTGCATGATATCTCCTCTAACCCCCAAACTTTCTTGACTGATCTTGAATTTCGATTGAAGTGACAAGAAGTTATATTTTTTTGAATCGGGGTTCCTAAAGGACCAAAAATAACCCAACCTAACTTTATCTTTCAAATTATTGGTTTATTTGGGCCTAAACGAATCGAATTATTTAATAAAAGATCCCAGAACATAGACGCGCCAATCAAAATATTGATTTTGTCTGGCCGATTGAAAGTTGGATTAGCTAAATGAACATAGCTTGGAATAATTGGCAAAATATACACCTGGAAGGTTACCTGTAATCTCAGGAATAACCAAGCAATGTAGATTAGCCAAAAATTGTTCATGCAAATAGGCCTGAAATGAAACGAATACTGCAGTGTATTATTACTTGATTCAGGATAACCAATTCCAACAACAGAAATGTTGAACTTCTCTTGAGATTAATGCGAACTCCTCACAAAGTCTTGAGAAATAGAGCTTGACATTGAGGCACTGTCCAATAGCGCTCTGGCTATATATTAGCCCTTTGGTAATTGATTAGAACAGCATGTAATCATCTGAAGCCTGAGACGACTGTGCATTTGGAACTTCAAGTGCCATTGGATTGGATTTTTTCTCGACACCTGCAGCATGCAACAAGGAATTATATTTTCGTTACAATGACTGAATCTAGAGTTTGCTACATTATGCCTTGATCCTAAAAATAATTTAAATTCTGACAGACTAACTGCCTAGTCTGTAAATCTTTAAACTGTTGTTTTTTCCACTCCGCAACTACGGCAGAATCTAATTTACTCGTGACTAAATTAAAATAGATTATAATGGGATCCCAAGAATTAACTTGAACACCCAAAGAATTAAGACTTTTTATTTTTTTTTTGTCGAAGTATCTACCAGATCTCTAAAAGCTAATGTAATAATTATGTACCACCAAACCATTGTTTTCGAAACGAGCACACAAGATATCCCATGTTAAGCCATAATTTTCTGCACAGAAATCAATTGATTCTATGCAACGAGCTGAGGATCCCTCACGAGACGACCTCAATTAATGAAATTTGTCAATCGCATCAATATATTGACATTCATGCACTAAAATCGCGAAATTCAAGCCAACGCTCATAATATATAGACTTGTAAACTTAGGTAGTTTCAATAATAGGCAGTTTGGCTTCTGGTTTTCTCATATTGCTTGAAGCAAGTTCTGCTGCTCCGAACTGTGAGCAGATGATGCCGAAATTGTTTACTTCATGCTTGTGAGAAATTGCTTCGCTAACAATAAAAACTCTCAAACTTCTCAGTTTCTGAAACGTCAAAATTATCTGGATCTAAATCTTTAAGTACCAATTATTGTGAATTTGAAAATTCTTTCAATAGACGAGACTCTAATTCATTAATTCGCATTTCAATCTCAACCAACTTGAACTTATTTGGCTGTGTCTGCTTAACCTAAATATTTCAAATTTATTTGAATCCAACTCAGATTCAGCAATACTTTCATCATGAGCCTTGGACATATTTTTGTTTCTTGGCATTTTCTTTGATTAGAATGGGGGACACTGGCTCACGGGCTTTGGTAATGGCAGGTCACGTCGGCAGCTGCTTCCAAAATCCTCCTTTCTGCGTGTTTTTCCTGATAATAAGCTTAACCATGCAAAAACTCTTAAAGATTTTGTCGTTCTCGGAACTTGAACTCCTGGGTAATAATTAAGATATTTATGCCTGGATATTGTCAACTTGTCACTAATCAGTAAGTGAAAATGTTCATCATATTCATGGATTTCAAGGCTTTCGACAACTATTCTGACAAATCTCGTATGTATCTACATAGGTCTATTTTTCTGGTGCCGAATATTGAACAGGTATTTTACACCTTTAGGTTTGCAGATTTGAAAATAGTCTATTTCAATTCGATACGACTTAACACTAATTGCGGAAGGAAAGCTTCAATTAGATAGAAGAGCCGTATTTTTTTTTTTTTTATAAGTCCCCTGTCCCAAAATACAGGGTGTCCCAGCCGAGATTGATAGTCTAGGAGGCAGTGACGATTTTTGGCACCTATTTTTCCAGTCAGACAACATGGATAGAATTGTAGGGCAAGGGGCAAACCACCTGAAAATTCTTTGCCAAAAATGTGGCAAAGGACCCTACACAACTCTCATGGGATTTGGGACTTCCGCCAAATTTAACCAAATTCTAGATGATATAAATTTGACCTTTCTGATCCTGATCAATACTTAGCATTGGCCCAACTTGATCCTATTTGACATATAGGTTGCTTAATGTTCAAGAAATGTACACATTTTATATGTGAGCGAGAGGATACATGTCCATCCTGGTATATTATGAGGTGATAGGTAGATGTAAATGCTTATAAAATGTGTACATTTCTTGGACATTAAGCTACTTGTATTTCAAAAACTAGTCATAGAATCAAGTTGGGCCAATGCTAAGTATTGATCAGGAAGGTCAAATTTATATCATACTAGAATTTGATTAAATTTGGCGGAAGTCCCAAATCCCATAAGAGGTGTGCGGAGTCCTTTAGAGGAATTTGTGGGGAATTTGTAGGAACTTATCCGAATTTATGAGAATTTGGGGAATTTATAGGAAATTTAGAGGAATTTATGGGGAATTTGGGAGAATTTGTGAGAAAATTATGAGGAATTCAAAGGAAATTGACAAATTTAAAAAATTCAAAAGAATAATAAATACCTACAGTTTTTGTAGGTTGATTTCCAAGATTTTTCATGTTACTGTTTTTCACTGGAATTATTTTGGGAAAATGAGCTTCTCACCTTCCTCTTTACATTACAAAATTTTCCCTTCACTAGTTTTCCATGAAAACTTTGAAATGTGTGAGACTGTATTTTCAACTAATTCAGTTTTTGTAGGTTGATTTCCAAGATTTTTCATGTTGCTGTTTTTCACTGGAAAAATTTTAAGCTTTAAGAAAAAGACCTTCTCACTTTCCTCTTTACACGCAAAAAGTTTCAAAATTTTCCCTCCACTAGTTTTCCAGGAAAACTGAAATGTGGGAGACTGTATTTTCAACTGATTCAGTTTGTGTAGGTTGATTTCCAAAATTTTTCATGTTGCTGTTTTCTAATGGAAAATTTTGAAATTTTGGGAAAATGAGCTTCTCACTTTCCTCTTTACACGCAAAAAGTTTCAAAATGTTCCCCTTACTAGTTTTCCAGGAAAACTTTGAAATGTGTGAGACTGTATTTCCAATTAATTCAGTTATTATAGGTTGATTTCCAAGATTTTTCATGTTGCTGTTTTCCACTAGAAAAATTTGAAATTTTGGGAAAATGAGCTTCTCACCTTCCTGTTTACATGCAAAAAGTTTCAAAATGTTCCCCTCACTAGTTTTCCAGGAAAACTTTGAAATGTGTGAGACTGTATTTCCAATTAATTCAGTTATTATAGGTTGATTTCCAAGATTTTTCATGTTGCTGTTTTCCACTGGAAAACTCTTAAATTTTGGGAAAATGATCTTCTCACCTTCCTCTTTACATGCAGAAAGTTTTTTTAGAGGAATTTGTGGGGTATTTGGTGAAGTTCGTGGTGGGGTATTTGGAGGAATTTGTGATGGGGTATTTGGAGCAATTTGGAGGAATTTGCAGGAATTTTGAGGAATTATGCGATAAAAATTTCCCTTTGAAAAATTGTTTGCACCAATTCTGGGATAGTTTACCCCTTGTTGTAGTGATAGTAATTCTAAGCAAAATTCATATATTTCTAGGGGGGTTTTCCGATGGGTTGAGGCGCGAAAAGCGTTAGAGTTTACGAATGCATGCACGGCCATTTTTTTCCAGTGATAAAAATAGGTTTACTAATGAGAAGTATACTGAAGTTACGTAAAAAAATACGAGTATGGATAATACGTTTGGCAAGTGAAAAATTGAAGATCCGAAAAATTTCAGCCAGACTCACTTTCCACTATCTGAGATAAGCTAAATTGCTATTTTCAGATACTTTATGTTCTATTGTCCCATCCAAAAATTCTTGCAAAATTCAAATATTCTTGTTTTATATCACCAAGCGAACAAACTATTTAATATACACCAACTGGGAAACCAACTGCTAAAAAAAATTATTGCCTCTTGGACTACTACATTGGATTTGGCTAGCGAATTTCACCAGATACAGATGAACAAGGACGACATAGAGAAACCCGCATCTAATACGGAAAATGGCCATTATGAACTTCTGCGTATACCATTTGGGCTGAAGAACGCCTCCGCCACTTTCTAAAAGACCATGGGCGATATATTATATAAGCAATTCAGAACGAAAAATGTCTTGTATACCTTGAGGACATAATTATATTTTCCACGTCGCTTCAAGAGCACTTAGAACGACTCAAATTGGTTTTCCAAGGATTACTTGAAACCAATTTTAAAATTCAAATGAACAAAACTGAATTCCTCAGACAAGAAGTAGCATGTTAAGACCATATAGTGACACCAGAAGAAGTACGACCAAATCCAGACAAAATCAAAGCCATGAAAAATTACCCAATTCTAAAAATTACAAAACAAATCAAGGGTTTTCTCGGACCACTTGGATATTATAGACGTTTTATAGATTAAAGAGAACATTGTGTCAGGTAAATTATATACTAATGCTTATTTTGAGAACCCGGATAAGTACATATCGACCATTCTGCGGAGTGATTGTTAGTGATGTAGTTTTGACAGTAACGTAACATCCATCATCCACAAATAAATTACCTTAAAATCTGCAACTTCGATACCCACTCTTCCCTTTGATCGTAAGCAATGGTGGCTTGTTCAATTAAATCAATCATAAACTTCTTGCCAATGCACAAGTTTTTGATGAGCCTTTCCCAAATTTTATTGAACTCGTTTCGTTCGTTGAGCAAATGATGGATTTCCGATCTGAGTCGGACGTTTTCGGCGCAAATGACGCAAAACTTTTTAATTTGCACTTCCAGCTTGTTTTCCAAGGTTTGCACAATTTGCTCGCCCTAGAAAGGAAAAACTGTCTTAAGCCCGTATATTTCCTCATGTAGTTCAGGCTGACAACCAAAAAACTTCAAACGCAACATATAAATCAGCTATATGAAAAATAAGACCCTGAACTATATGAAGAAATACACGGAAAAATACACAGATGTAATACGTGCTTTACAAAAATACAACGTGGATTTTTATTTCAAAACCAGTTTCACTTCAAAAAACTACTTGCCTTTAACACCCTCTCTTGATATTTGTCGTCTGAAATTTGCCTGGCGGCCAATTCCAGACACTTTTTTTTAACCATTTGAATCTGATCTTCAATTTCTTTTGTATAGTTTTTCTCTTTTTTAATTTGCTCACCAAAATCGTCATATTCATTTAACAAATAGGCAAGTTTTCTAGATTTTTTCAAATCCTCTTTGGTTCTTGCTTCAGCCGAAGCAACCTGAAACCAATAGAATAATTTCAAAAAATTCAAAGACAAAATTCTTTACCGCCAAATCAGTTAAAATATTCTTTTGTTCCCTCTTGAAAATGTCCAAGACTTTTTTGTGTTTGGCCAATTTGCCGCCGAGATCTGCCTGCATGAATTCGGCCCGGTGGCGTTCCATGATGGTGTAAGTGCGGGATAATCTGGCCAATTCATGTTCGGTTTGGAGGGCCAGCTCGTATTTTTCTTCCTCGGTTAATGGGATTTCTTCTTGGGTAGTCATTTTGTGTTAGTGAATTGTGTGTGAGAGGGTTTAAAATGACGATACGTCAAAATGTAATGTCATTGGTTGGTTGCTGGTGCAATCGAACATTTTTGTGGTATTCTCACTAATCTTTTAGGGCGGGTATTATAAAACTACTTTGAGAGTTAACTTAAAGTTAACTTCTGAAATTACATGTAATTCAAAAAGTTAACTTCAAGTTAACTGTCAAAGCAGTTTTATAATACCCGCCCTTAGGGTGTAAAACGCTTTATACAGTTGGTTTTGTATCAATTTAAGTGCGGATATTGACGTTTTTTGCCGTAGTAAGCGAATATTCACATTGATATTAAACCAGTAGATATTATAACCAGTATGGTCAAATTCACGATAGAAAAAAAAGTTGACAGTTCACTTTGACAATCCTAGTAATTTTTTTCTTTAGGTTGCCAGCATTTGTTAGCGCTTCGATTCCGAGGTGGGATAAACGACAGGGCCGTATTTAGAAAATTGATTTACATTTCAGAATGAAAATTTATTATCAATTTCTTTAGGGGAAGTTAAGTTATTAAAATCCTGCATAGTAATAATAAACATCAATTAATTCTATGTAATTTTCGGCATTTCTTTTCAAGAACAAAAAAATCAATTAGACAGGTTATAAGGAACACGTGGCTTTGGAAATAAAACAAATTTATTATTTTTAAACTTTAATTATGAACATTGATTATTTTAGGTCTTGTTTCAATGATATAGAAACGTGTCAACCAGAAACAGAAGCATTCCATGCATCCAGAATTCTCCTGAGGTTGGCAAAAAAGCTTCAAAAATAAGTACGATTAAGATATCTCAATTTCTAAAAATAAACGAGAAAATTTCTGAAATAAAACGAATTAATGATTATTAATTGAATAATGGAAAATTATATCAGGGTTTGTGGGGCTTTTCTTTCAAACGGCATAGAATATTAACAATCTTAATTTCTATAAATGATAAACGAGGCATTTCCTGGAATAAAACGAGTCAATGGATAAATTGAATAGGTGAATAATGAGAAAATTATACCAGGGTTTGTGTGGCTTTTCTTTCAAAAGGCATAGAACAGGAACAATCTTAATTTCTATAAATAATGATGAACGAAACAATTTCTGAAACAAAACGAGTCAAGGGATAAATTAAATAAGTAATGAGAAAATTATACCAGGGTTTGTGGGGTTTTCTTTTAAAAGGCATAGAACAGGAACAATCTTAATTTCTATAAATGATAAACGAGGCAGTTCCTGGAATAAAACGAGTCAATGGATAAATTGAATAGGTGAATAATGAGAAAATTATACCAGGGTTTGTACTATTCACTATCACTAGTCGAGTCAGAGTCGAAGTTTATAATTAGGGGCTGCACTTTGCTCACAGGAATTATTATATTTTTTTCCTTGTCATATGCGGCCCTAATTACCTCATGCGTGTGTTTTACATAATGTGCCCATTGGTTTTTGGACACATTATCCAGCGCCTTCTGCCATGTCCCTAAGACATCTTTTTGCTCAAGGATCAGCTGGTCATAATACCGTTTAGCTTGACTCCATACCATTTCAATCGCATTGAATTGACAATGGTATGGAGGTAAGCGCAAAACCTGGTGACCCGCTTCCATAATGACATTGTCCACAACAAAGGATTTCTTGGTCTTGGGGACTTGTCGGATGATGTTCCACAAGCTTGCTTTTGTGGACGCTGGGTCAAAAGGGATAGCCTTTGCCTCCAACCACCTCTGCATCTCGTCTTTCTTCCAGCTCATAACAGGCCACTTTTCAAGTAGCCTGCTATGATAGGACGCATTATCCAAGATGATAATAGATGGTTCCGCTAATTTGGGAAGAAGAACATTTCGCAACCAATTTTCAAAATTTTCGCTGTTCATCTCCCCATGATAGTCCCCTGAATTAGTTTTTGATTTGAAAATCAGGCTGGAACCATCGATAAAACCATCTTGTCCTCCCGCATGTAAAATTATGAATCTGAAACACAATGTTGCATTATTCTAGTTAAATAATAACATAAGTCTCTTAGGAATTCCCTTGAAAATAATATTATTAACATGATTGCATCTTTTTTAGCTTACAAAAATAAAACGTATTTTTTTTCTTAAACTTACTCATCTGACAGTGTCATACCTGTTACCATCACCCTTGATTTTCTTCACGGAACGAGTATCCTCATCCTGCCAAGACTTCCTTAAGGATCCATTTGAAAAAATCCATGTTTCATCAAGAAACACATATGGAAGCTTAGCAGGACCTAAGGCTTCGTTGTTCATATAGGACTTCAGGAAAACTCTTCTCAGATGGCTCACCTCAGGCTTTTCCATTAGGGCTCTTCTTGGATCATCCTTTCTATAGGTAAATCCAATTGTGGAAAAAATTCTGCCTAAACTTGACTGGGAACCGTGATAAATTTCCCTTCCTTTCAACCGATCACTTACAGTTTTAAGGGTAACATGCAATTCTAAAAACGAAAAAAGCTTGTTTAAATATTGTAGTAGTTACATTTTATAAATAAAATATACATAGTCACATCAGCCTTTCCATGTAATTGAATTATGAAAAATAGTTGACCAAAAACTATTGCAGAAGAGAGGGGTATGTTTTCGGTGCATTAGTTTATTAAGAAAATCCGCAGAGCGCTTTCGGCCCTGAGCCATCTCCAGTGCTGCTTGGTCGCAGGTACATACATCACTTACAAGAGACAACGGACACAAGTAGACGTGCATAATAGAATTCAACTACCAATTAATCGATTACCTGTGAGATTACAAAAACTGCTAAATTATACAAAAAAGGAAAAGTGACAGGGACGTGGGCGGCAGGCTTTTGACGTCCACCCCCCTATAGCGTTTAACCAAGAATTTGAACTTGGGCATCGGCCACCTGCAGATGGCACATTACGCCTTTAAATAATTTAATCATGCATAATATTAGATGATACATTGAATAGGAAATTACCATGTTTTAGAGATACCAAATACCACTAGGAAATATGACAACACAAAATGCTAATCATCTTAACAACAATAAACCCTACACACAAGATGAATCATGCAGGTACAGAAGCTTTGCAAGTTTCTAAAAGCTGTGTACGTCAGAGGGGAATATGGATACTTATCCTTATGAAAAACTCCAATAATTCAGTTATATTGAAGATCGAGAAAACAATGGTTCTAAGAAATGTCATGAAATTATAGAATGAAAGAAATCCTAGCAGCAGCATCTTAATTTGTGTTGACCTGAAATAAAAAACAGTATTAAATTATGAAAAACAGTTTAATTTGATCTGAGAAGTTCCAATGTTATCAGGTGTATTCTTTTTGAATCTGGTAATGTTAATATGAAGTAACATTGAAACAATTCTATGTTCAAAGTAGAACATCAACTTACTCTCGGTATACATTTGGTATATTTCTGATCGAATGCTCTGTTTGACGCTTTCCCTTGAATCAGCTGTCTGCAACTTCTTACGCTTCCGTGTGACAGGGGTAATTTCAGAGTCAACTGGACCATCCTTATATTTATAGACAGTGGTGTGACTTAGTTTTAAAACCTTAGCTGTCTCCTAGAAGGGCAATGAAACAGTAAATTACAATTTATTTATTAAAAATTAAAAAAAGCCACTGGCTTCGAAAATATCCTCTTCCAAAACTTGTAACTACATTTACTGATATTAAGACGAAAAAGTTCCTATGATCAATCAACGATAATTTTATGGTTATTAACTTACAGTTATGGGATTTTGATTTTCATGTGACACCATGAAATGGTTGTACACAAGCTGTATAAATTTCTGGGCCACAGGGTTCCCATAAACTATTGGTATCTACAAAAGGATTATTTGCTTATATTTATTAACAGACCGAGAGCCGAGAGGGTTTTTGCATGTATCATAGGCCCCACGCCAAGGCTTGGGGGCTGATAGACAACGTTATTCCCCACTTTGAATTCCCGGTAGCATTTTTATATCGAGCGTCCAGCAACCGCATTCGGGGTACCCGACCTCGGCACGTATCAAGCGCACGGTAGTACAAAAATCACTTGGACTACCGTCTGCTCGATACTCGCGACTCGCGCCTACAGTCTCGAATATCTTTTTGAGTTTTCCTGGCTCCTCACCATCAAGCTACTTGATAATATGTATTAGTTTAATTTTGATTCTGGTAGTCAAATCGTAAAGCAATTTTAATTCTAGTAGTTCACTAAGTGGAATGGAAAGTAGCAAAAAACTTAAAGATTAATAAGATTTTGCTATTTGCCTAGTTATTTGATGCTGTCTCTAACAAACTATCCCAAACTAACCCTAAGGCTGTCCTTACCTTAACCTTTTGCTCAGCTCCAATTTGGGTTAGTTTTGGTTAGTTTTGTTACTTAGAGACAGCATCATAAATAATTATTTACATCTGCCTGAATCTAATCTCCGCATTTGTCAAATAACGATTGCAGGTATACAAATCCCTAAGTAAATAGCAAAAATCTTGTTAATTTTTACCTGCTTTAAAAATTCGATTTTTAAATCGTCCTAACATATTTCAAAAAATAGGCGTTTTTTTTTGGAGAAAAAAGTATACAGATGATAATGCCATTGGAAAAATGGCTAACACAATAATTCAAAAATGTTTTCGAAAAAACGTGAAAGTGGCTTATTCTATCTCGCCATGGTATTCTATTCACGGTAAGGTTATGTAGATAAAACATAATTTTGCTCTTACTTATGCCCTTACCTCGACTTCCTGCTTAGTCTTGAAATTAGTTCGTATTTCGCTGGAATCGACAATGTGGTACATATAATTTTCTGGCCAGTGCATAATAAATGATAAACAATTTAAAAAAAAACTGAATTGTTGGACGCCAATCCATAATTTCGCAGAAGACTAGTATCAAGCGTACGGTAGCTTGACAATCGATCGGGAAATCAGACGCTCGTTATGAGACAGGCCTCGGTTAATACGACGTTATCCGAATGCGGTATACTGGGCGCTCGATACAAAAATGCTTCCTGGTATAACACTCCTAAAGTGTAGCTTTTAGGAGGGGTGAATTTTCAAACGTGTAATTGATATACATGCCCCTATATTATGGGCCCCA